CGCTCCAAGGGCTCTGCCGGCGCGCGCTTCTGTCGCCATGGCGACGCGGCTTCTCCGGCTGCGGGCTCCGAACTCCGAGCGGGCTGCGATCGAGGCTTGCGGTCCGTGTCTGCCCTTCGGCTGGGCGGCGTGAAAGAGGCTCAAACGGGTGAGAGGCGCTGCGTCCTCTGCCCAGCCCTCCGCGCGCGCTCCCGCAGGCCAGCGCCTAAGCCCGCGACTTCTCTGCCTTCTCCAGGTTCGGACTGTGCGGTCCCCCGGCTGCCGAGGCGCCGCCCGCGCAGGTAGGATCTGCGCGGCTCCCACCGCGCGATGTTTGCGGCTGCGTGGGCGGGGATACAACCTGGGGGGTGGGGAGGTGGTCTGACTCGCATCTGCCGATCTCTCCTCCCCAAATAGTGGAAACAGCCCCATTCCATCCTTGGGCTCTTCGCTGCTTCCTCTACCCCCTGCTTCCTGGTCCTGGTCACCACCCCCTCCATCTCTCACCGTTCTTGTTTTGTTTTGTAATTTTGCAAACAACTGAATAGTCAACAGGAGCAAACAGTGGTTAAAATATCAGTACCCTCCAGATATATGAGAGCTTCAAACGTTCGTCGAAAAAAGTCTTTATATCTTTTAACTCATTTTTTTCCCCATGAGCTTTTTGAAGCTCCCTCATAACTTACCGGAACATAAGCAGTTTAGTGGAACTCAAGACAAAAATTAACTGCGGCTTGCTTGCATCTTCTGTAAAAATGAGGGATTTGGACCACAAATCACTTTTAAAGCCCACTAGTCAACCTATGAAATGATAAGGTTGATTTAAGACCCAGACATTTTGGCCTTTGGGCGGCTCAAATGGGTTTAGCCTGCAGCCCTACAGCATCTTCAGGGGTGGGAACCTTTTATTTTTCCTGTCAAGAGCCATTTGTATATTTTTAACATCATTCAGGGCCATCCTGGTCAAACATTTAATTAACTCACCCTTAATAAGATGGCTGGGAGAAAGAGGAGGCTCTCTACTCCTGTAAAGATGTTCAGTCTGAGAGAGGCACAGGGGCAGGTGTATCCGTCCTCTCGGGTCACTGCGAATGGGAACAGAGTGGATGACAAGGAATGAACGCGGGGCTCGAACTGCTGCTCGGTGGGGAGGCACGTGAGGCTTGCTGGCGTCAATGCTTTCGACCTCCTCATCCGGGCCTCTGGTGGGTGGGTCCCCACACCTGATGTGAATGAACCTGTCATATGTTTATTGTGGGGTTTCTAGAGGGTACAGACGCATTGGCTGACTCTATCCCCATCCAAGAACAATTCTCTTTAAAAAGAAATCTAAAAAGAGAGACACGAAAAATTGTCCCCAAGTCTCTTTGTTCCTTTTTATTACTATTTCTACGTGAAGTTTTATTTTTTTAACTTCAGGGTGGGAGGTGGCAGGGAAGCAAGCAAGCACTTCGAGTTGTTCAAAGAAGTTTATCAGAACTGAATTCCAACACTTTTGTAGGGATTTCCCCGGTACCCACTCCAAAAATGCAGCCTCCTTCCCTGTGGTCAGTTCTACTCTGCCCCGCCTCCTTTTTTTTTTTTTTTAAGTCTATTTAAAGGATTTTTTGTTTGTTTTTTCTTTTAAATTATTTATTTATTTAAAATCATTTTATTGTGGGCTCGTACAATTCTCATCACAATTCATACATATATCCATTGTGTCAAGCACATTTGTACATTTGTTGTCATCATCATTCTCAAAACAGAATTTTTTAACAAAAAGAAGCCAACGTGAGTCCCAATGAGATTGAGAAATTCCGTGTTCTACTCTGTTCTTATATCCCATTTAGTCCTTATAACAATCCAGCGAGCGTGGCAACATTGTGTTCCCATTATACAGATGGAGAATCTGAGGCTTAAAGAAGTTAAGCAACCTGTCCAATTCATCTGGGAAGTGGCAGGGCTGGGATGTGAATCCCATCTCTTTCACTCAAACATCCTCTTTCTTCCGTATTACACGGCTACTGCATTATCATTGAGCTGTGTGTCCATTTCATTGAATTTGCGACCCCAGCAGGAAAGAGTCTCATGGGATGAACAGTTAGTGTCCAAATAGGATAAAAGAAGGATCCAGAGTGGAGACATGCCTGACTTCTGTCTGGTGGCAGCGGCCTTAGGCAGATGTAGAGATGGATTCTCCTGCCTCGTGTAGCCAGAGGAGAGAGGGCACCAGCTGTGACTTCCGCACCATTTTCACTGCAACCCACTCTGCAAGCCAGCCTCTTGCCCAAAGGCCCTCAGCTTACATAGTCAGTGAGTTAGAGAGCCTGCCACTCTGTCCCGTGCTCTCAATGCCCCATGCTGCCACTGCTTCTCCACACGGAGGTCTCGGGTGCAAAGGATGCTCTCTCCCATGGTGGTTCTTTCTGGATGTCCTGGGATCCCACTGATCTTGATTTTGCACTGATCATTGGAGACCATTCAAAGAGTATGAGGGAGAAGGATTTAAAAAGAAAAACCTTAATATAAAATAATGAAGTATTTCTTTTACTATCCACAGTCTTGGCCCTGAATTTTTTATGCCAGAGATCCTTGGGTATGTATAATAATAATAAGTGTTAGTCTGGCTTGTGATGTGGAGACAAGTGACAGAGGGTAAACAAGTGAGTTGCTATTTAAGAAAAATTCCAGTAGGACCTCTTCCATACTTCAGAAGCAAACAGTCAAACAAAACCCATGAGACTGATTTTTCTCTTTAGGATTAGAATGAAAGTTAATAGATTGGAAAATCAGTCCTCCCGTTGGGTAGTTGTCAAAAAACCACATTCACTGCCATCGAGTGAATTCTGACTTCTAGCAGCAATCCTGTATGAGAGAGTAGAACTGCCCGCGTGGGTTTCTGGGGCTGTACCTCTTTATAGGAGCACACAGCCTCATTGTTCTCCCATGGGTATTGCTAAGACAGGTTTAAAAAAGTGTAAATAGCAATTCATGAAGAACAAATTATAAGTATTAATAAGCATAAGAGGACCTATAAGATAAGGATTGTGTTTTAAAGTGTACCTTTGAATAAAATCAAAGGTCAGTTTCTAAATGTATGTATTCAGATGATACTTAAAACATCACATCTTCAAATATGGAAAAATAGCTGCTCTGGCCACATAGACCCTGTGAACATGGTTTTCAGGATCCTACTGAGATGGAAATCCAGCAGCTACTTTGGCTTACATGGTGTGTCTTATTTTGCTGGAGTGAGGGAGAAAGTGCTAAGATAGACATGAATCAAGCTGAACTTCTGATTTCTGGAATTAGCTCAGCAGGAAAGAGCAGACCTTAGCCTGCTGTGGATTTTTTTTTATGTAGCTCTAGAGTCCAAGTTATAGAAAACCCAAAAGATATCAATTAGAAGTTTAATTCATATGTATGTTTTCTTTCATAGACTTTACATAAACTTCAATGTGAGATCAAATTAAAAGCACACCAAACTCACTGTCATAGAGTTGATGCTGCCTCAGAGTGGATCTAGATTGGGTTTCCAAGGCTGTAAATCTTACTCAAAAAAAGAAAAAAATCTTTTACTCGAATAGATAGCCTCAACGTTCTCCTGCAGAGGGGGTGGTGGATTTGAACAGCTTACCTTGTGGCTGTCAGCACATCCAGCTCACCTTGTGGCTAGCAGCACATCACTTACCTGACTGTACCAAACCCATTGCCATCAAGTTGACTGAATCATAGGACAGAGTAGAACTGACCCAAAGGGTTCTGAGGTGGTAAATCTCCATGAGAGCAGACTGTTACAGTCTCTTTGTTCCGTGGAGCAGCTGGTAGGTTCAGGCTGCTGACTTTCTGGTTAGCAACCAAACAAGTAACACTGTTACATGACTGGAAAATAAGCCAAATCCAGGCCCACAGCCATCAAATCAATTCTGATTCCTGTGCAGTGAGATAGTAAATCTTTATGGAAGCAGATAGCTTCCATTTTTTCTCCTTGAAGCTGCTGATGGGTTTAAACTGTCAACCATGGCATTTAACAACTCAGTACCTGTCCTGCAGTGCCCCTCAGGCTCCTTTTAGAAGGGTTAATTTCTCTAAAACAAATTTTTAAACTAGTTTAAAATAATTAGTTTTAAAATAATGTCAGCTTCCAATTAGAATGAGAATAATGCTACTAAGTATAATAACAAAATACATGAATACCCAACTGGTAGACTGAGTTCTGCATTTTGTTTTGTTTATATTTTAAATTTATACAAGTGTTTAGAGACTTATGAAATCAATATTTTGTCTTCTATCAGGAATTATTCAGGCAAGATAGGTGATGTAAAGGTAAGAGTATGTACCATAAACTACTTTACAGGATATTTTGGGTCATCAATTTAGATCATGTTTGAATAATTGATATTTGTATAAAATTGCATTAGACTAAATGATAGAAAAGTATAGATACTGGTAATAAATGATCTCAAACACCTCAATATATTACATAATAATACATACATAATGATAATACATAATAACACAATATATAATAACACTAATACATAATAATGGTAACAGTCATTTTTATTTCTCCTATTTTAGGAACCAAAAAATAGACAGGATGACAGATTGTTAGTGTTTGATCAAAAGGGTGAGTACTTTGGATAGTTAATAACAGTGGATATAAGAATGAAGAATATGATCTAAAATTTATTGCAGCGATGATTGCACAACTCTTTTCAAAATATTTAAACCACTGAATCGTATTGTACATGAAGTATATATTGATGAAATGGTTTTAAAAAATAATGTGTGTAACCACCATTTTGTTTTAAATATAGGAAGATAACTCACTGGAATGATTGAGTATGGTCACATGATTTAGTCATTAGATTCTTTATTTGATGGTTGATCCCACAAAAGTGCTGAAGTATTGCCTATCATTCGGAACCTCACTCGTGATAAATTACTAAGGTGGATTTCCCCCACTTTTTCAGAGAAAGCAGTGACTGAGTCAAATGAAGCAATGTCGGGGTAAGAAGCTACCTTTGGTCGCACAGCCGATCCAATAATCATTGTCACCCAATTAAGTTTGAAAGGCCAGAAATGCTTGGCTTAACACCTTAGTTTTTGCTTCAGTCAAAGCAGTGAGTACTCAGAGGGAAGGGTATTTAAAATGCAAACTGAATGTTGATAAAGATGGAGAAGGTATAGATAATGCTCGTTTCCACGTTTTAAAGCTGTGTTTGTTTTAACAGCTTTATTGGGACAGAGTCCGCACTTACACAGTTTAAAGCGTTTTTCTTTTTTAATCAGGTGACATTGAGTTGATTCCAACTCAGCCACCTTCTGTACAACAGCATGAAGTCTGTGTGTCCTGAGCCATCTCACCACATTGTTTGAGCCCTTGCTGCCGCCTCGGTGTCAGTCCATCTTGTTCAGGGTCCTCTTCTTTTTTGCTGACCCTCTACTTTACCAAGCAGGACACTTTTCTCCTAGATCTGGTCCCTCTTGATGATTTGTCCAAAGTCCACCCTGGCTATATTTCTTCGGGGATAAATTTGTCCCTTCTTTTGTCGATTCATGGTATGTTTGATATTCCTTACCAGCACCATAATTCACATGCATCACTTCTTCGGTCTTCCTTGTTCATTGTCCCACTTTCACATGCAAATGAGGTCACTGAAAATACCATACTGTGGTTTGAGTAAGGTACACTGTAGTCCTCAAAGTGACATCTTTGTCTTAACATTTTAAAGGCTTTTTACAGCAGGTTTACTGGATGCAGCGAATCCTTGATGGCTGCTCCCACAAGCATTGATTGCGTGCCCTAGGGAAATTAAACCCTTTACAACTTGAACAAGCTTTTCTCTGTTTATCATGATGTTGCTGATGGATCCATTGGTGAGGATTTTTGTTTTCTTTAGGTGGAGATGCAGTCCATCGGGTTGATCCCCACCAATAAGTGCTTCCAGGTTACTTGCTTTCATGGTTACTTACAGGTTACTTACAGGTTGTTCATGAGCTTCCTCTGATCCTGATGCTGCATTCTTCCTTACATGGTCTTCTGTACATAGACAAGAGTAAATGAATATGGTGAGACAACCACCTTGTTGCATGCCTATCCTGATTTAAAACCATGTACTATCCCCTTGTTCTGTGTGAACAATTGCCTCTTGTCTACGTGCAGCTTCCTCCTAAGTTCACGTAAGTGTTCTAGAATTGCCACTGCTCACTGTGTTGTCTATAGTAATTTGTGCTGATCCATACAATCAAATGCCTTTGTGGACTCAGTAAAGTCTCTGCTTTCGGCTAAGATCCCTCTGACATCAGCAGTGATATCCCTTGTTCCACGTTCTCTTCTGAATCCAACTTTATTTTCTAGCAATACTCTGTCAGTGTACTGCTGCAACTATTTTTAAATTATCTTCAGCATACTATTACTCAGAGGTAATATTCATGATATTGTTGGATCATCTGTCCTTGGAATGAGTACACATATGTATGTCTGCTTCTTTTTTTCTGTATGTTTTAGTACAGTGACTCTGCAGTCCTTCCATCTTCTTTTGGCCATTCAATATTTGTCCACAGAATCCTCTAATTTTGCAACCTCAGACTTGATCTAATTCCCCCTAGCTTCAGAAATGCCAACCATGTTCATCCCTTTCTAACTCAAGGTCATTGCAAATTTCATTGTAATACTTTCCTTTGTCTTCTTGAGCTGCCCTATGAAATCTTTCTCTCCAGCTCTTTTCTGTCGTCTTTTGTGATATCCATTTTGATCTTTTTTCCCCCCTTCCGGTCTTTTTAACAACCCTTTGCTTTCTTCGTGTGTGATGTCCTTGATGTCATCCTGCAGCTCCTGTTGTCTACCATCTGTACTATTCCAGGCACCGAATCCGCCCTTGAGATGCCCTCTGAATGCAGGAAGAATGTACTGAAGGTGGCCACATTGCTCTGTCTTAATTTTCTTCGTCTTCAACCTGTATGTGAGCAGTTGATGATTGCTTCTGCAGTCAGCCTCTGGCCTTGTTCTGACCAAGGAGATGGTCCTAACCATGGGTCCTAGCATTCACATGGCTGTTATAAGCAGTGTTGTAACTGCACGAAGGAGTGATCCACATCCCAACATGGTCAAATTCCAGGGGTAAATCAAATGCGAATTGGGTCAAAATAAAAGAGTAACAACTTATTCTCTTTTTCTCTTCAGTAATTGCATCTGTTTATCAAACTGCTGTGGTTTTGGTTTTGGGGTGGGTTTTTTTGGAGGATAAATGATCATGTTCCCTTTAATCACTTGCAAAAATGAGTTTGGGCTTGGTAGGTTATTGCTTGGCATGAGGGAGGAGCGGGGTGGGTAGCGTGCCGATAAGCTTCACAGGTATATAGTTTTGAGTTACTTGGGTATCTCTTGTGTTGAAAGTAAACAAGGCCAGTCCTGGAGAAAAGAAAAAAAAGAAGCTTGGAGAACAGTGTGAATTGAGGGAGAATTTTTGTCAGTTTAGTTTTCATCCCACCCTCCTCCTGACCCCCCTTGCCTGTCTGACACAGGGTTGTCCAAAAGACTTTATCTGGGTTGGGATAAGCAAAAGGAGGCATTTTCTTCCAATTTGTTGTTCTAGTTGCAGTCACACGGAGAGAATATGGATCGCATAAACCAGGAGTTTGAGCTTCTATGCACATGCACACAAAAAACAAAACAAACTCGCTGCCATCAGGTCAATAGTGCCCCTGTGAGTTTCTAAGACCCTAACTTCACAGGAGTAGAAAGCCTTGTCGTTTCCCTGTAGAGTGGCTGGTGGGGTTTTGAACTGCTTACCTCTCAGCTAGCAGCCCAACACATAACCACTGTGCCACAGGGCTCACATGTATCATTCCCATTTCTTCTAAGGGCCCCATGTGTGGAAGAGTTGTCCATCAACAAACTGCATTTAATGTAAAACCTGTTTTAGTAGTAGAAGTAACATAAATCTTTAATGTAGACAATGTTGTATAAATAGAGTGTAGACCACAGATTCCCAAATTTATTTGACCTTCTGCCCCTTTTCAGAAACAAATTACCCATTGCCCCCTGACAATTAAAAACATTTATACTGTAGCCCATAATCCAAAATAAAGTGTAGGTGTCTGCTTTTGCAGCAGCCCCCAGCAGGTGGTATTACTCACTTTGGGAAACACTGGTGTAGCCCTTTCACCTGTTGGCTTTTTTGGTCAACCTTTCAAACATACTTAAAGGTATACAGGAGGTAAGTGGCTAAAGCCAACAAACCCATTATATTCAACTCTTATTCTGGGTTTGGACAAGTTCTACCTATATCTTATTCAGTAAGCATCTATTTTATCATCTTTTCTAAAATGAATGACAGCTATTTTTTTATTCTCATTTTAAAATTTTAAGTAAATGCCTCTTTGGATACAGACCAACCTTGGCAAGCAAACCTTATTCCTCAACAACGCAAGTGTCTCTGAATATAGCTAAGACATTGTCAGAAAAGTAAGTTTTAAATAATTTTTATTTTAGGTGCATATTTGACAAATAGAAATCATTTTCAAAATAAAGCTTAAAGTGTATGTTTTAAGAAAAAAATTATTTCCAATAGAAATTTGAGGATATTTTGTAAACATACCCAATGATTATAACAGACTAAGGAAAACATTTAAGACTTAGATATCTATTTTCTAGCATAAATATATTCCAGTAGAGTACCTAACCTGACTAACCTTTATAATTTTAGTAGTTACTAAATTATATACGTTTTGCTTCCAATTGATCTTATTATATCAAGTAAAAATTTGAATCTTTCCTCAATTGTAACTATTTAAAGTTGAATAGCACCTTTCAGCATATACTAATTATCTGTGTTTCTTACATGGTTAGAGACATTATTCCCATAAGTAAAACCACTCTCTCAAGTGCAAGTCAATAGATTATAGTTGGAGAAGACATTGAAATTTGGTCCTCTGAGTCTCTGAAACTGCATATCATAGAGCCTCTGGGAAATGGGCAGAAAGGAATTCATATTTTACTATTAAAATGATGGATTTGGTCAGTTCTCATCTGAGTATTTTTCTGCATGTTCACCACTGCTGCCATTTACCTTAGAACATTATTGCCTTGAAATTATTAAAGGTATTTTCAATTATTCAAATAACCAGAACTATATACCAGCCAACTCTATTCCTTCAGACTGTACCATAATCAGTATGTAAGTGCCATTTTAAAACATTTTCTTAGTACTTGGACATCTTTTACAATTGATGGCATGCTGCCTGGCACTAGGTTTTTTTGCAGCACATGAAGAATAATGAATGTTAATAAATAGATGGTAATCTGAGATTCAATGAAATATTGTAACCTAGGGGAAAAAGCACTAAAACCCTTGTATCTAGATCACATATTCCAAACACCCAAGATCAAAATCACTGCCATTGAGTCAGTTCTGACTTAAAGTGACCCTATAGGACAGAGTAGAGCTGTCCCCATGGGTTTCTGAGGTTATTAATCTTTATGGGAGTAGAAAGCCTCGTCTTTGTCAATGTTTAAATCCTTGAATAATAAGGTATTTTGAGTTGGTCCAATAACCAGAACTATACTAGCCAAATTCCACTCTCAAGGATAGATATGCCTTGTAGTTAGCAGCCCAACAAGTAACCCTCTGCCACCAGGTGCCTTAGAGCAGGAGTTGGCGCGTATGTGAGTCTAGTCATCACTGGCTGGCATAATAGGCGCATTACCAGAGTGGGAATTGAATACTTAAGTGATTCTCAATTTTTCTCAAGCAGTTTCTTCTTGGTTTCCTTTTATTCTTTCACAGTTACCAACGAGAAAAACAGAAGCCAGAATGTGCTGTGCATTTTTCATTTCCTGAGACTGGTATTAGTTTAGCAGCACATATAGGGGGTGTGTGTGGGGGTGTGTGTGACTGTGTGTGTGTGTGTGTTCTGTCTTTGTTTCTGTGAGTGAAGATTCTCATTCTCAAATTATTCCGTCTGTTTGCTAAATTAGTGCACAAGGCCACTCATCGAACTGCTTATGTTCTGGATTTCCATCTCAGGGAGGGGTTGGAGCTCTTATAATTTGGGCGGGGGGAGGTGGGGGGATGTTGTTGTTGTTAGGTGCTGTCGCGTCTCTCCAGGCTCATAACAACCCTAATACAGCAGAAGAAAACGCTGTCTGGCCCGGCTTCATAATGACTGGTAGGCCAGAGCCATGCTTGCAGCCCTGTGTCGGTCCATCTCACCAAGGGTCTTCCTTGTCCACTGCCCCTCTACGTTACCAAGCGTGATGCCTTTCTCCAGGGACTGGCCTCTCTTGACAACAGGCCCAAAGTATGTGAGGTGAAATCTTGCCATTCTTGCCTCTAAGGAACATTCCGACTGTACTTCTTCCAAGACAGATTTATTTGTCCTTTTGGAAGTTCATGGGATTTTCAATCTTCTCCACCACCAATCTAGTTCAAATGCATTGGTTTTTCTCCAGTCTTCCTCATTCAAAGTCCAACTTTCAGATGCACATGAAACCATTGAAAATACCGTGGTGTGCGTCAGGCGCCCTTAGTTCTCAGTCATATCCTTGCTTTTCAACATTTTGTGCAGCATTTTTACCCAAGGCAATGTGTCTTTTGATCTCTTGACTGCTGCTTCCATGAGGATTATGGATCAATTAATTACTCAATTATATATGACAAAATCCTTGACAACTTCAATCTTTTCTCTGTTTAGTATGATGTTATCTACTGGTCCAGTCGCGAGGATTTTGGTCTTCTTTTCATTGAGTTGCCATCCACACTGGAGGCTGCAATCCTACATCAGCAAGTGCTTCAAGGCCCCTCACTTGTAGCCAGCAAGGCTGTGTTATCTGCCTGTCAGCGGTTCTTAATAAGCCCTCCTCCAAGTCTGATGCCACATTCTTCTTCATAGGATAGTTTCTGTGATTATTTGCTCAGCCCTCAGATTGACAACCCTGACGCACACCTTTCCTGATTTCAAACCATGCGGTATTCCGTTGTTCAATTCAAACAACTGCCTTGTGATCCATGTCCAGGTTCCACACGAGCACAATAAAGTGTTTTGTTATTCTCAAGACCATCCAGTGTTTGTGATGATATCAATGGCTGAGTGCTTTTACATAGTCAATACAACACAAGTAGACCTCCTTCTGGTATTCTCTGCTTTGAGCCAGGCTCCAGCTGACATTAGCGATGATATCCCTTGCTTCGCATCCTCCTCTGAATCTGGCCTGATGCCCTGAAATTGACAGCTCCTTGTCAGTGTACTGCTGCAACCATTGTTGGATGATGATCAACAAAATTTGACTTGCACATGATATTGCTATTCTTTAATTTTCGCATTCTGTTGGGTCACCCTTCTTTGAAATGGGTTCAAATATGGATCTCTTCCAGTAAGTTAGCCAAGTAGCTGTCCTCCAAATTTCCTGGCATAGAGGAGTGAGTGCTTCCAATAAAACACACTCCATATTTCCAGGGGGGAAATAATGCTTGACATCTTTTTGTATCTTCCCAATGCAATCTAAAAGTTGAATTTTATTAAACTTTATTAAAATGTATTTAAAATTTTTATTAAACTAAGGGAGGCATGTTGAAAGGTCCTTAAGACCTCAAAAAGAATGGAGTTATTTTCCCTCCAAGCCTGTGTGCTTCTTCTCTGTATGAACACAGTGAACTACAAGAATGTCTTGGCTCACTGTTTTATTATTCATATGAAAATTCAGTTGTAAAGGTGGGAAAAAGGAAAATTAACCCAGTTTTAGTTCAGCTGCTTAAGAAGCAAGCTCTTATATTATGACCAAGGTTAATAATAGTGTTGGCCTCTCTCCTTAAGTATGATACTTAGCAGTGGCAGAAATTGATTCATAAACTTGAAGACAAAACAAAGCCCCACAGCTTGTATTTTTAAAATATTCTTGCTCCATCATACCACACTCACACACCCAAGGTACTGATCCCACTGCTTGCCTGTATGCTCTTACGTTAACGCGGAAAAGATTCGAAGAATCTTTCACCATGATAGGTAGAAATAAAGCTTTAATTATCAGTAAAAAATTATTTTTATACTTCTACACAAAGAAGATCCTGCCATTTGCTATTTAGTTTATTGTTACTACATTCTATATTTATGTTAAATATGTATTAGGTATTAAATGAAATATCTGTTTATGAACCCTTTACAGAATGTGACTCTGGAAACTATTTTATTTTTCATGATCTGTGTACTTTAACATGTAGGAGAGAAGTCTCTTCAGTGACTAATGAGAAGAAAGTCTCTTTAAAACATACTGACAATCGAGTATCTTCGAAGAGTACCAGAAAGAAAGATACGTTAACACACCTCCAGTCTAAGCTGTGGTCATCTCCCTTCTTAAAAGAAGGCACAGGTAAACAGCACTTGTTTTCTTAAATTAACTGGGTTTCAATGCCGCCTCCCATCCTCCATGACAGGGCTGTGGACAGCTCTGTAGATCTGGAGTAAGCCAAGGGAATGAGTAACTTTCCCAATCTCAGACGCAGCCAAATATGGGATCTGTGGCATATATTCCATAAGATTATAATGGCAGGGTATTAAATTCTAGAATGAAATGAGAGTTCATTCCAAGTCCCACTCATGCAACAGCAACTGATCTGAGGCCCAGACCCTGACAGCTTTCTCTTTCTGCCAGCTACGGAAGATGGTCTGTGTCTCTCATTCTTTACTTTACTTTAAGTTCACATTCATTACATTTTAAAAAATGCATTTCAATGCTTATTTATTTAGTCTGAGAATATACATTCCAACTTAATCATTTATACAACTTTAAAACTCTTCTAGTCTCCACCCATTACCCAGTATCAAAACCACTTCCACATTTTAGGTATTGGCTAGGACAGCACCACTTCTTGGTACCAAACTTGTCTTAGTTGTCTGCTATTCCTATAACAGAAATAGCACAAGTGGGTGACTTTTAGCAACAAAAACATTATTTTCTCAAAGTTTAGGTGGCTGGAAGTCCTAATTCAGGTTGTTCACTCAAGGAAGCTTTTCTCTGTTGATGGAAGGAGAAAAATTCTTACCTTCTCTGAGCTTCTGCTCCTAAGCGTATGTCTTGGCATCTCTCTTAACCTGCCTGCGGGCTAGCTTGCTTGTTTAATCTCTTTTCTATCTCAGAAGAGATTGACTTAAGGCACCCCCTCCACTAATAATTGTCTCATTAATGCAGCAAAGAAAACCATCCCCTAGTGGGATAAACCACACAGGATTTTCTAGCGCATGAGGAGGCTTCAAAGAGTTCCTAGAAAGATTCCATTCAGCTTTAACTTTTTTACACCCCTTTGTATTTTGGGGGGGTGGCATACTCAATTCATGACTATTTTTTCAGTGACTACAGAAGATAATTAGAGGTTGTTGTGGTAAACAGCAATGGAAGTGTTCTTATTTGACCTCCTCTGGCATCCACACTCTCTCTTGCTCCCACACTCCATCCTTCACTCCCTATTCGGACACCAGCCATTCCTCCCATGCCACTCTGTCTCTATGCTGGGTTCAATAATTTGTTGTAAGGGCCACACAGAACTCACAGACCATACTTAATAGGGGTTATTGGAGGAGTCAACAGGCTACCACAAGTCAGGGTCAGCAAACAGTAAGGCTAAGTCATTGGTCTCCTCAGCCAGGAATTGAGTCTCAGAAGTGGTCACCCTCTCCGGAGGGTCTTCAGCCCTTGGCCTTGGTCTCCATCACTCTGGCCCACAGTTCCATAGTCTGAGGCAGATGAGAAGGTACCCCACAGTCTCGGTGCTGCTGCTGTGAGCCTCCATGCCACCATCTCGGATGCATCTGGGCTCAGAGGCCTCTACCACTGCAGGCAGAGATCTTGAACGTCCCAAGTCCTCAGGGCTCCTTTCACTGCTGCTGCTTCAAAAATGCCTCATCCTTATAGCCACGGGGTGTGTGTGTGTGTGTGTGTGTGTGTGTGTGTGTGTGCAGGTGAGAAACGACCCATCCCCTTTATTGGTGTCACACACACTGTATTTGCAGGGGCCCAGACAATCATTTGGGGAGACTTGAGTAGAAGAGCCATATGAAGAAATTCCATGCCACCACAGTTGTGATGGGTGCTACAGTGTAAATAAAGGACTCTACTTTAGATTTGTGACATGAACTCCCTAAGCTACCCTATTGTGACCTTCCCCTGGTGACATCAGTGAGCAGGCCAGGGACTCACTGGAAGGTCAGGATGGTTGTGAGCTGATGGAGTCTGCAAAGGAAATGGAAGCAGGTAGGTGGCCTAAATAGCCCAGCCAGCCTACGCTTTGAAGAGCTTAGTACCCCTTTCCAGGGCCGTACTGTGCTTGGTTTAGGGTCAGACGCTTTGAAGAACTTAGAACCCTTTCCAGGGCCGTACTTGGTTTAAGGGTCAGGAGTTTGCTCTTTCTTTTTGGTCTTTGTGTTCTTAACATTGTCAATGGTCTCTAGTTCTACAGGATTTCCTCATTCCCTTCTTTCTGATGCAAGCGTGTCTACATTATTTAGAGTATCCTTCTACATAACGAACAGTAGCTCATGACCAAACCCCCACTAAGAGGGCCTTTCACAAGGTTTGCCAGCACTCAGAATCCTACAAGAAAGAATGTGTGTAGCAGGACTTGAAACCGAAAAGCCTCCACAAAAACAAGAGTCAGCGTCCTCACCCAAAGCGAGGCTGTTAGGGGGCACAGATCGTTTATAAAAGAAACTCATCGCAGTGGACTTACTTTATGTCTGTTAGTAAAAAGTCAGATCAGGCGTGGCTAAGGGTATGGACTCTGGAACCACACCGACTTCCAGATCGACCACTTATTAGCTGTCAAGTAGGGCACGCTCTTTTAAAAAAAATCATTTTGTTGGGGGCTCATATAACTCTTATCACAATCCATCCATCCATCCATTGTGTCAAGCACATTTGTACATTTGTTGCCATCATCATTCTCAAAACATTTGCTTTCTACTTAAGCCCTTGGTATCAGCTCCTCATTCCCCCCCCCTCACGAACCCTTGATAATTTATAAATTATTATTATTTTGTCATATCTTTACACTGTCCGATATCTCCCTTTACCTACTTTCCTATTGTCCGTCCTCCAGGGAGGAGGTTATATGTAGATCCTTATAATTGGTTCTCCTTTTCTACCCCACCTTCCCTCCACCCTCTGGTATCGCCACTCTCACCACTGGTCCTGAAGGGATCATCTGTCCTAGATTCCCTGTGTTTCCGGTTCCTGTCTGTACCAGTGTACATCCTCTGGTCTAGCCAGGTTTGTAAGGTAGAATTGGGATCATGATAGTGGGGAGGAGGAAGCATTTAAGAACTTGTATGTTTCATTAGTGTTACACTGCCCCCCTGACTGGCTCGTCTCCTCCCTGCGACCCTTCTGTAAGAGGATATCCAGTTGCCTACAGATGGGCTTTGGGTCCTCAATCTGCACTCCCCCTCATTTACAATGCTATGATTTTTTGTTCTTTGATGCCGGATACCTGATCCCTTCAACACCTCGTGGTCACACAGGCTGGTGTGCTTCTTCCACATGGGCTTTGTTGCTTCTGAGCTAGATGGCCGCTTGTACCTTTAAGCCTTTAAGATCCCAGATGCTATATCTTTGATAGCCGGGCATCATCAGCTTTATTCAAATTTGCTTATGCATACATTTGTCTTCAGCGATCACGTCGGGAAGGTGTACATCATGGATTTCCAATTTAATAGAAAAAGTGTTCTTGATTTGAGGAATTATTGAGTGGAGGCCCAATGTCCATCTGCTACCTTAATACTAAACCTATAAATATATATGCATGTAGATCTATTTCTCCATCATCATATATAAATATATTTACATGTGTACATGCCTGTATTTAGACCTCTATATATTCAGGCAAGCTCTTTAACTTCGCTGTCCTAAAATTTCCTCCTCTGTCAAAGGCAATAATAGTCTCACCTCATTGGGATGTTGAGAGAATGAGTTAACATATGTAAAATGTTGAGAAGAATGATGGCACATAGTAAATTTATTGGGATAATGTTTGTTAGTCCGGGTTGAATAGAGAAACAAATCCAGAAACACTCATATGTGTGTAATGAGAACTTTATATCAAAGAGTAATTGTTTATCAAGAAAACACCCCAGCCAAGTCCAGATCAAGTTCATAAATTGGATATTAGCCCATATGCCCCATACCAATCTATAAATTCCTCTTAAGACTCATGCAACACATTCAGTGACACAGAATGCAGGAAGATCACAGGCTAGTATGTAGAAAGTTTAGTGGATCCAGTGGCGGTGGAAGCATCTCAGTGTTGGCAGGGCTCTCCACAGGGCTTCTCCAGCTCCATCAGCATAGCCCCATGTAACTTATCAATGTCTCGCAGAGATAGTGGGTCTAGCCTTCAGTGACCTACTTATCTCCGAAGTACCTCCAAATGAGGTCACAATGCAACCTGATTGACAGGCTAAACTCCACCCCTTCACTCTCAATAGTCTCAAATTGACACCAGATTTTGTAACTACCACATAATGGTTATTAAATCATCCATCAGTTTCATGTGTGATAATATTTTAAGGTTTGACAAAATCATTAGGTTTAAAAAGTAAGTGGATTCAAAGAAAAATACTAAGTAAATAAATCAGACAATTCTCTGATATGGCTAAATGAATAATGATAAATGTGCTGAAGTTTAGAAAATGTTCCAATATTGTGCCATGGACTTTTACCTCAAATATTTCTCTAATTCAGTTCCTTCTCTCCATCCCTATTACCTCTTCCCCTTATCATTTACTGCATGAATCATATTTCATCCAGACTTTACAAAGACCTCCAACCGCTTCTTACTCTCTCTGTTCCTCATCAAAAATTCCTTCTACCCTACTCTCCAGGTGTTATTTCAGACATGCAGAGCGGAAACACATATTTCCCTGCTTAAAATATTTCATTAGTATCCCCTTATTCTTAGGCTAACGTCCTGACTCCATGGCTCCCTGGTCGTGTAGTGGTTAAACATTGGCCTTCCTAATTTCAAGATCAACAGTTCAAAACCACCACCAGCTGCTCCACAGGAGAATGAGGGCTTTCCACTTCCATACCCTGTCCTTTAGGGTCACTATGAGTAGGCATTGCCTCTATGGCGTGAGTTTGCATTTTGTTTGGTTTTCCATGGCTCCAGTATCTGCCAATAGTTCAACCCCAGCCCTGACCCTTATGGAACACCAAGCTACTTGGCAGCAACACACACATGCCATGCCCCATCTGGTCTATTTAGACTGACTACTCCCCAAACCGATATGAGGTCCTTCTTAGTTCTGTTTACTTAGTGACGTATCTTTTACTGTATTTTCATGCTATTTTATAATGACCTGTTTTGGTTTTTGCTCTCCAGTTAGCTTGTGAATGAGTAACCCAAGATCGAGTTATGTCTGCTCACTTTTGTGTTCCTTGCACTCAGCACAGTGCTAGGCACCAAATGGGTAGTCTCTAATGCTTATCCTTCATTTTGCTTTGGTCTGTTTCTTAGTCTCATTCGTCTCAGTTTGTTGTGCTGTGGTGGCTTGCATGTTGCTGTGATGCTGGAAGCTATGCACCAGTATTTCACATACTAGCAGGGTCACCCTTGGTGAACATGTTTCAGCAAAGCTTCCGGACTATGAAACAGACTAGACAGAAGGAATAGGCAGTCCACATCTGAGGGATCACCATCGACAACTTTATAAAAAGCAGCACAACATTGTTAGCATCAGAAATCAAGCCGTATTTTGAGTGTCTTTGAACTGGAGGGGCTTGATTTCCGGTGCTAACAATGTTGTGCTGCTATTTTTAAAAATTATTTTAAATGTTATGTAAGTTCTGGTCATATCCAGAATGCTTCCCATTTCTCTTTGTCTCCCTTTCTCTCTGTGTTTGTATGTAGTGTTTATGTAGAAATTATTTTCAAGTATCCAAAGATTAATGACCTACTTAGCAAGAATTTTTTTTCAATCTCCCTAGAGTTATTCTTACTCTCCAAGCTCTTTATTATTTACCTTTTCATAAGACTGACTTAGGAAATATATTTCTGGAGATACTGTAATGTTAATTTCTTTTCTCTTGAATTTATCTAATGTTTACAAAGAATATTCCAATTAAAATTTCAAACACAAAGCAATACTATTGTAGGTTCCGTTTTAATGGTTTGGGGTTTTCGTCTGTCACGTGGCAGTCTTGTTACCTTTTTTTGAAATAGAAACGAGGTAAGGTTATTGCTGTGCTATTTAGTCAAGAAAAAAAATCTCCAGAACAGGAAGCCACACACTGCACTTGTCCATGTGCACATTTGTTATAACGAAGACCTAACCATTTTTAATTTCTGGCATTTCCAATGTTTGATTAAATTATGCTTATTCTGTTTTAGGTACAGTGGGGAAAGATGCAAACGTTGCAAAACAGGTGAAAAATAACAAACACTGCCCTCAGGACACTAAGGACAAACTGTCAGAATCCACAGATGATGATGGTGAAGACGATGCCAATGGTGGAGATGATGAAACCAGTAACCCTAAGAAGGTTACTCGTGCCCCATTAGAGTTAATGACAGAAGTAAGTTTCATTTGTGTGTTATGGTTCAAGAAACCTAAAAATATTGAAATAACTGAATTGTATACAGCCTTGAAGGCAAAAAAATTAAGAAAATGTAAAGCATCTGCCCCACATAGAGATGTTTGCCTGGGTTCTCATCTTTCTTGCTTCTTAGCCAAGTTAGAGATGAAAGATGATTCTTCCGGTGACCTACGCAGTGTTCTCGTAAAGCAGAGGTAGAAGTAAGAGAAGTGTTGGTATAAAACTCTCAAATGAGCCTTAATGTCGAAGCCTTTCTACATAATCAGCACCTGCTAGTTGCTGGGGATGTAGAAGTAAATAAATAAGACAGATTCTTGCCTTTGAGAATTAACAGGCACAAATATGAGGGGGCTTCAAAAAGTTGTGGAAAATGATTTTTTCAATTTCATTTTTCCGTGAACTTTTTGAAGCCTGTGTTAGTCCGGTAGACAAGAGAAACAAATCCATGGACACTTATGGTTTTATATAGATGTAAGAGGATAGTGAAACACAGCACAAAGGAAGATAACAGCTGATTAGTCCACACAGCAGTACAGAGGGCTCCTCCGTTCAACTCACTTCTGTGCAACAGTTAATATACTGGAAGTCCTTCAACTCAGGAGGGTTGCTGGGTCCAAGGTCAAGGAAGCAGACAGCTGAGTCTTTGACAGAGCAATGCAGGCAGTCCAGCCACAGGCTGCAAACAGCAGGGGTCTCCATGTGGCTTCTCCAGCACCCAGGGCTGCATCAGGGTTGGTCCATGTGGCTTCTCAGGAATGTCTGGCAGGAGGCCAGCCTTGTCAGTAGCGAGTCTCCAAAGGAGTGACCTGAGAGAGATCAGTGTCTCCCACTTCCAAGGAGGAAAAGACAAGAGTTCCCAGAATTCTCAGGAGAAGGCCAGGCCTACACAGAGGCCTCATTGGTGATATCTTGTTTGAGAGGCTAGACTCCACCCCTTCACTCCTAATCCTCAAAATTGACAAACGATTATATAACTACCACAAAGCCCTCATATAATGAAATACAATACAGCGATATACATGCTAGAGGAAAAAAAAACATCGTGTTCACTGGGAACAAGCAAGATTAAATGGTGATTGGGAAAAGAAGGGGGAGAATAAGGAATAAGGGAAAGATTTTTAGAGGAAGAAATATGAATAAAGTCTTATAAACTTGAAGGGAGAAGAACTGAAGGAATTCACCTGGCAAACAAGTAGAAAGGTATTTGTGGTATGGGAACAGCATGGGCAAAACCTCAGAAGCCTGAAACATCACACTAAAATAAGTATCATAATCATCTACTGATAATTCTGTGGAGAACAAAACTCTTTCACTGTACCGGTTGTGGTAGCACAAACAGCCCTTAACTAAGATGAGAAGACTGATAAAAAGTTAGTTGAAAAATGAAATTTTTAAATGGTGGCATTTCTCTGTGAACATTTTGAAGTCTCTTTAGATGTTGGAAGAACCTTCTAACAGTATGTTTTCACTTCTACATTCTCATCCTGTGCAATATTGTCATGTTTTTCACAATGTAGTATTTTGTTTTAAATGATCACTTATCTAGTAAAAAGACTCAAAAATTGTATAACAATTTTTTACCCACATATACCTGTATACACACATACACATGCATACTTTTGTGTATATCCAAATTTCTATTTGATAGAATTTTTTTGGGCCTGGCCTCAAAAAATGTTATTCATATTTCTTGTGATATAATTGTGGTAATGATGAATTCTCTTAGGCTTTGTTTATCTGAAAAACTCAAATTTATCTTCATGTATGAAAGATGATAGCTGAGTATAAAATTCTATTCTGACCTATTGGGGCATGTGTTTTATTTTCTCAGGACTTTTGAAAAATTACTCTATCGTCCAGTGGCATGCATAGTTTCAGATTAGATGTCTACAATATCTATCTGTATATAATATCTGTGTCCACCTTTAATTTTTTTTCTCTGCATTTTTGTTTGGAACAATTTTATTATGATGTGTCTTGCTTTGTTTTTCTTCGTGTTTCCTCTGTTCCTTTAGATTCTTGGATCTATCCATTTATAGTTTTCATCAGATTAGGAAAATGTCCAGCTAGTAATTCTTCAAATACTTTATCTAACCTTTCTTTCTCCTCTCCTTCGGGGCTTCAATTTCACATGTTAGACCACCAGATATTGTCCAAAAGATTACTGATGGTTTATGTATTTATTTGTTATACTCTTAGAGCAGTAGTAGATTTATAGATATAAGAACATTCCCGGGAAATAATTAAAATCATTGTAAGCCTTCATTTTTTTCAGCTACATATTTTCAAAGACTGAATCTGTACCAGAGAAATACTAATATAAACTGATTGTCTTTACTATCCGTGCCAGTTAAATCAACTTATTTCTTCTCAAATTGAGAGGGCGTACATGTACAGTATGCAGGCGAGCAGAAAGCAGTACACTATTCCATGCTACTTTGTCATCTTGCTGTTAGCTGCTGTTTAGTTCGCCCCTGGCTCAGTGATCTCTTGATCACAATGGAACAAAGCACTGTCCGGTCCTGCACCAAACATATACTTGGTTGCAGATTGATTGGACCATTAGAATCCATAGGGTTTTCAATGGCTGTTTTCAGAAATAAATCACCAGCCCTTTCTTCCTAGTCTGTCTTAGTCTGAAAGCTCTGCTGAAACCTGTTCAGCATCATAGTAACACACAGGCCTCTACGAACAAATGGATGACAACTGCATATTGAGGTGTGTTGTCACGGAATCAAACCTTGTGGATTCTACATTCCACAGAGAAGACGGCAATTCTACCACGACAGCAGCAATGTCCCTCTCTCCTTACCATGTTGTTATCAGGTGCCTCCAGTTGATTTCAACTTACAGAAGCTGCCTCCTAGGGTTTTCTATACAGTAATCTTTATAGAAGCAGATCTCCAGGTCTTTCTGCACTGATCCCTCTTGGTGCGTTCTACCATCAGTCTCTCCATTAGCAGATAAGATGTTCCACCAGGGCTCCTTACCTTTCCATAAGAGGTTCTTAAATATCCTCGATGATTGGTTAGGGACTCACTCATGGCAAAACGTGTGTAAATATTAAAAGCAAAATCATCAGGGATGGAATATTTTCTAAGGGGTTCATCACATACTTAAATTATCTCTGAAACAACCTCTTAATGAGTTTTTTAATGTTTTCCAGTTTTTGAGAGCAGAAATGGACCGAGACTACCATCTGGCGAAAAAATTATGTCAGATGAGTAAGTACAATATATGTTTATACTTTCCAGTCTTTTGTTACTAAGTAAATTCCATAATATGTTAGATGTTTTCATTATCATAAGGCTAGTGAACTCTCTGTAGCATTTCAGTAATTCCCTGATAGCAAATTAGGTCCTCTGGTGAGAGGGCTGATTGGAACTCTGCAGGACCTTTAAGTGGAATAGATTAATTGGTGCATTTGGATTATGGTATGGGCAAAGAATATTGAAATACCATGGGCTACTGAAAGAACAAAGGCATCTATCTTTGAAGGAGGACAGCCTGAATCCTCCGTAGAAAGGAAGACGATGAGACTTTGTCTTACGTGCTTTGGACATTTTATCAGGAGAAAGAGGAATAGGATATCACACTTAACAAAGTGGAGGTCAGCAAGAAGATGGATTGGCACAGTGGCTGCAACGATGGGCTCAGGCATAACAATTGTGGAACCGGTGCAGGTTGATTCCATTAAGCGTAGGATTGCTATGAGTTGGAACTGACTCAGTAGGACCTAACCACAACAATTGCCACCACTGGCAAGTAGGTCAAAATCCTCACCCTCCTGATGGAGGACTAGTAACTGTTTGTCTTCAGAGAAAGCATAAAGAAGTGCCAGTTACTATAGCAGTCAAACCTCACTTAGCACGTAGTTCCACAACTATTTGCAGTGCCCCCATGAACCAGGCTGCGTTCTAGGCCATTGGAAATACGGCGCCCAATCATTCCATATGAGTAGGAGAGTAAACCATCGGAGGGTTTTGAGTAGATAGGTGACATCATCTGCCTTAGCTTGCATTCTGCCTGGTTTTTAGTGGTTTGGCTTGACATTCAGAATAGTTGTTTTGCCTTGTACTTATACTGTTGTAGGATTTACTGCTTACAAACCTACAGATCACATTTTTCATTTTAGAAAGCCACTGACTGAAGCTTACAGAATATATGTGCTGATGTGCCCATCTGTCAGTCTCTGGTGCCCCGCTCATAGGAGCAGGCGCTCAATAAAATGCCTGTGGCCTGACTGGAACCAATGAATACCCATTAAGTGCCAGGCCAGTGGGATGAAGAACCTCAAACCAATCCATCTTCACAGGGTTATCCCATTTTACAGTGCCCTCCCTCCCTTTCTCTCTCCCCCTGCTCCCAACAAATATTAGGAGAGGATGTTAAAAATTTGTGGGAGAATTCCATTAGCTTGTGATTCCATTTTCCCCACAGACTTTTGAAGCCCCCCTGTATGTGGAGCCCCTACTCTGTGTAAGCTGAGAACGGCACACTTGCTCTAAGCCCTCTTGGGCTTGACATCACGCAGAGTTTAGTTTGGTTTTCACCCCTTCTGGCTCACCTAGTAACTATTCACTCTAGTTGAGCGGTCCTCAACCTTCCTAATGCCGCGACCCTTTAATGCAGCTCCTCATGTTGTGGTGATCCCCCAACCATAAAATGATTTTCGTTGCTGCTTCTTAACTATAATTTTGCTACTGTTAGGAATCGGGCAGCCCTTGTGAAAGGGTCATTTGACCCCCAAAGGGGTCGCGACCCCTCAGGTTGAGAAGCGCTGCTCTAGTCTATCAATATCAAATAGTGGTTCCTCTGCAAATAGGAGTTCCAAACAAAAAACCCGCTGCCACTGAATGGACTTCAACTCATAATGACTCGATGGGACAGAACAGACCTGCCCCCTATGGTTTCCAAAGCTGCCACCTTTACAGAAGCAGACCCTCACATCTTTCTCCCACAGAGCCTCTGGGGGGTGCCCACCGCCAACCTTTGCGTTAGTAGCTAAGTGCTTACCCACGGCAGCACGAGGGCTTCTTAAACCCAGAATTCAGCAGCGGGCCCTAAGACAAGCATTGTGCTCTGGGAGCCAGCTGAGAAAAAAGATTGCTTTCAAGAGGGATAAGCTGTGCAAATAATCCCATGGGGGTGGGAAGGGGGTGTTGGAGGTACCATGCAACACAAGATCGGATAATACAGTAAAGTTATTTGGTCTGGCTCGTCGACCCAAGTCTTTGTAACTCCCACCAGATGATTGGGTGAGACCATGCAAACAGTCTTGTGTGCAAGACTACAAGTGGGGAATGGTCAGTTTTGCCATTCAGCTGGGTAAATAAATGAGCCAGTGCAGGAGCAGGGAGAGAATCCTGTGACCACCAAGAAAGAAGAGCCAGCAATGGGGCACACGTGAGATCCCAGCCCCAGCACCCAGACCATGAAACAGAGCAGAGGAGCCATGCGGAGTCCATGAGGCAGCGTAGCAGGTGGGTTTCCTGGTCCACAGAGGCAGAGGCCAAGGGATCACGTAGCTAAGAAGACATGCCTACTAGCATGACTGAGAAGCAACAGTGTAGACAGAAGAGGAGTAGCTTTAACATTTTGTATCCTGTTCGCTTCCCTAGTAAATCCCGAGTATTGCCCATGCGCTCTGTGTAGCCATTGCAATGAATTATCAAACTGAGCAGCGAAGTAGAGTGGCCTGGGGAGGGATACTGGTCTCAGAATAGGATAGAGAGGGATGGAAGGTGGAGGCAGGGTTGACTTCTGCCTCATGGCAATCAGCCTTAGGCTAGGCCAGGGCTGGAGTCACATTCTCCTCCTTTGTGCAGCCAGAGCTCAGACGTGGCCTCCACAGATAGGCTTGAAGCAGAGTTCCATGCTTCATGACACATTAGGGAGAGTCTGGTGGCACTGTGGCACAAGCAGTGGGCTTGTAACTGCAAGATCAGTGGTTCAAAGGCACCAGCCACTCAGGAAAAAGATGAGACTGATGGCTATTCCCATAAAGAGTTTGTTTCAGAAACCCTACAGAAGGCTACTGTGATTTGGAATCAACTCAATGACAGTGGGTTTAGGTTTAGCAATGCCCAGTAAGGCTCCAGGAAGAACGGAGAGTTGGAAGGAGACACGCTGTCTCAGGAGGAACTGACAAATGCTTGTTTTCTTAATTATCATGGACCTTAAACGATCTTATCTCTTAATATCTTAAACCTAAATTCTTGTAGGACACATATTTTTTGTCTCTTTTTCCACCATCTGAGCTTTATATGTACACTTATGTATCCCAAGTGGACTATATATACATGCATATTTTATATGTGTGTATTGAACACTTATGATGGAAGCATTCTTGAACATATGATTTAATGTCTCAAACAATTCTATGGAGCAGATGTCATTAACCTCACTTTACAGTTGTGGAAACAGGTGTGGAGAGGAGAACTGCCTTGCACAGGGTCACAGAGCTACAATGTTAGAAAGTCGGGCTCAGAACCCCGCTTGGACTTGAAAGCCTGTGACTTCCCCTGCATTCCGTTTCCCATTGAGTCGTAGGCATATACGCCTGGCCAAGACAGTAGAGACTAAAGAAAAAGACAATTTCATAGATTGAAGAGCCTGGAAGTGGCACATGTGGTTGACTGGGATCTTTATTTTATTTATGTCTAAGGCAATTCATTTGTATAACATAATGCGTTCTTCTCCCTTCAGAAATGTTTTGCATATCCATTTTCTTGACTGAAGCTATGTTTTTTTGCTGTCCATTTTCAGTGCAGTTGTTTATATCTTTGCTTGGCTGGAGGGTTTCCCATCTGGTGTCCCAGATACCCTGTGATTTCTTTCTTTATGTTTTGCCTTAAAAAAATGTGTATTTGTTTCCCCCAGAAATTTTATCTGTTGGCAAAGGCTGGAATTTTATCTGTCTTCCACAGAGTTTTTATATGGCCCTAATATTTCCTCAGCCATTTTCCTGCTGCCTCATGCAGAACTGCTATCTCGGCTCCTGCCATTTCCTGCCAGGCATTGGAGGCAGCCTGGAAAAATGGTTTTTAAATTAGACTGAAAGTCAAAAGCCCCAAGTCCTTTCGTAGTTCATTTCATGATTGACTGTGAGGCTGTGCAAATCAATCTTCCTATTTCTTGGTCACTTCACCTGTAAGACAGGAGGCAGAGGCTCAATCCCATCAGAGCACCACACCTCTGCTCACAGCACAGGTGCCCAGGCTTCTAGGATACATGTAGGCCCTGAAAGACCTACTGCATCCGTTAGCATCATGAATGTGTAAGAATAGTGGCTTCAAAAGAAGAGCTATTTTTCTCATCACTATAAATCTAATACAGGAAAATGCAAGTGGGTCTTTCAGAAAGGATCGTTCCTGAAAGAGTTGTCCATTTTACTTTAAATAAAATAGAGGACCCTTTGCTATTGGCCTACAGTATCATTTTATCTGCTTCCTAATCAGATGTCCATATTCATTCATAAGTTTTCTAATGGTCTGGGGGCTTCTTCTGTCCCTGGAATGCTGGGGATGCAAAAGTGAACAGGATGGACATACTCTCGCTCCTGATTGCCCCAGTCTAAAGATCCCCTAGACAGCAGAACCTCCATGCTGCCCTGCTGTGGTAGTGACATAATCTGGTGTCAACTTGAGACTATTCAGAGTGAAGGGGCGGAGTTCACCCTGTCAGTCAGGTCGCAGAGGCACTTATGAGTGTCTCTGAACATGTTTCTCTAGTCTACCCGACTAACACACCTGCTCCAGTCCTTCAGTCAGACAAAAGCATCTACTGAAAGCTTGGACAGGAGCCACGCTTTTCTCTAGGTGCAGAATCACTCCAGGACGGTAATTTATTGTCCTCAGATGTGGCTGAATTGTTTACAACTTAGAGCCACGCCATGTCATCAGAATGAAACACTGCCTGGGCGTGCACTGTCCTCGTAAAGGTTGGACCACCATTGCAGCCACCTTGTCAGTCCATCACGCTGAAGACCTTCCTCCTTTTTGCTGGCCCTCTACTTTTTCAGTCAGCATGCCCTGCCCCAAAGACTTGTCCCTCCCAATAACATGTCCAAAATACATGATACAGAGTCTCACCATCCTTGATTCCGAGGATCGTTCTGGCTGTACTTCTCCCAAGATAGTTTTGTTCATTTTTCTGGCAGTCGATGGTCTAGTCGGTATTCTTTTCCAACACCGCAATTTGAATGCATCGATACTTCCAATCG